TTTTCAATATTAGGAATTATTTGTAAGACCTTCAAGCCTAATCTTCTAGTTTTTCAGATGCAATCTATAAGATCTCCGGGCATGATCATCAAAACCTTCGGGTGTTGTTATTATTTTTAAAGTTACATGCCTTTATTTTTTAGGAGCTTAATGTAAAAAACAATAATAATAAAAACAAAAAGTATATAAAAACAAAAAAAAAAAAAAAAGGGGTGAATAATCTAGACTTGGATGTAATAAGTTATCTATGGTTTTACACAATTCTTGTTGTATAAAAAATACGTAAATAAGGGTAACTGTAGACACTCAATTTAGTATGGGGTCTAAATCAAAGGCTCTGAAATCAATTGGGCTCAAATTTGATCTAAGCTTAATTGTCAAAATTATGTTTTTACTTTGTTTATCTATATATATTTTTATTTATCCTTTTTATTTTATTACTTATTTTGTCTTGCTTATTTGTTGTTTATCTTTAATTGTATTTCCTTATATTTATCTAATTTTTTAAAATTTATCTGATTATTTTAAAAAAAGATAATTAAAAAAAAAAAAGAATGAATGGCCATAAATTAAAAAGGAGTGGTTGGTGATAATGTGGTTTTATCATAATTAAATTTGAAGTTAAACTTTTCAAAGATAAATTTTATTTTTTCATGATAATCCTAATTTTTTAAGTTGGAATCAATTATTCTCCTTATTATGCCTTATAAATAGACCTTTAAATCACAAATCAAATGGACACTACAATCAGAGAGCAAATGAAAAAAAAAAACAGAGAAAAAAGTGAGAGCACGAGTTTGACAGTAATTGAGTGTGAAATTTCGGGGTAATTACTCAGATTCAAGCAGCCAATCCCAGAATCTAGCAACCCACACATAAGCCGAGTCGAGCCGCTTCTCAAGTCTTTTCAGCCAGTTTCGTGTTTGCAACCGAGCTCTGTTCCAACCACTAAGCTGAGCCATGGTGTTTTTGTATTTTTTGTTCTTTTTCTCCATTTTATTTATTTATTTATTTATTATGAGTTCTATTTATTTATTTAATTATTTATGATATATTTCATTTAATTTTTTAAATTTTAGGAAAATTGTTAGGGAAGTTAATTTTAAATTATAGTAAATATAAAATAAAATTTTAATAAGATTTTGAGAATAAATAATAATTATCTAATGATGAAATTTTAAAAATTACAAATGGTTAATTTCTAAAAAATTTTTAAGTGAGATTTTTTTCTAAATTTGACCCAAATGTAGAAAAATTTAGATAAAATTTTAATAACAATAATTAATATTTATTTTAAAATTTAAATAAAAAATCTAAATAAATTTAATAAAATTTTTGGAAATGAATTAACAATTTTTCTAATGATGAGATTTCTAGAAATTTTAAAGAGTAAATTTTTTAAAAAATCTCTAAATGAGGAATTTTTTTTTTAAATTTAACCAAAATGGTGGAATAATTTAGATAAAATTTTAATAAAAGTAATTGTATTCTTTTCTAAATTAAAATTTTAAAATATGACTTTAAAAAAATTTTGTTGTGAAAATTATTGATGATTATCCAAATATAAAATCTTAAGAAAAATCACAAATGTTTAAATTTCAATAAGATTTCTAGATAAATTTTTTATTTTAAATTCAACTCAAATGGTAGAAGGATTTAGATATGACTTCAAAAAATTATCATATTATTTTTCTTTTTTAAAGGATAAATGATGAACAAATGGAGACTAAATTTTAAGAAAAATATTTTTAAATTAAACCCAAATGGTGAAAATTTTAAAAATGAAACTTGTAAAAATAAAATAAATTTCGATGATAAAATTCTTCGTAATCATAAATAGATGATTAGTTAAGAGATTTTCATGTGAGAAAATATTTTTAATTTTGGCCCAAATGGTGAAAAAATTATATATTTTTTCAATAAAAACAAAATTTAAAAAAAAAATGATCAAGAGAATTTCCGACGACGGAGCCTTTTCAAGAAAACAAATAGATTCTTGAATGCTCTTGAAGCTTGAAAATATTTTTTAAAATTTTACCAGATCAATAGAGAAGTCTTGAAAATTATTTTTAATATTTAAACATTAAAATAAAGACCATCATAACTAAGATAATTGTTAAGATAATTTAAAATTAAATAGTACCATCTTAAGATAGACGTTATAGGGATGCTATAACATTTCTCACACATAACCAAACTCCTGAACTTAGTTTTAAAATACAGATCGAAATATATTATTTTAGAAATTCTTACTAAGAACATCCTTAAGATGATAGATTCATTAGGTGACTAATCACACTTTAAAAAAGATTGATAGTAACTTTTTAAGTTATGTGTAGTTATAAGTCTATGGATCTATACGTAATGATATGGATCATTTACACAATTTGATGGCTAATTTTATTAGTCTATGTTGCTATGTTAACAAGATCAAAGTTTATAGTTATATCAATATTTTTAATAACAAAAATTTGATGAGATTAGTGATAGGACTAAAATTATCAAATCAAAAGAGGATTATATTTTTATAAATTATAATAAAAGAATTAAATTTCAAATTTCATTAGTACATGAATCATTATCATAATTTGACCTTTTAATAGCAAACGGTGCTAAGATACTAAAAATATGACGCATACTTATTTTATAATAAGCTTTAATCTTATTAATTTGATTCTTAAGAGTTATCACAAAACTTCGATGTGTCTAATAAAAATCACAAAATTTTAACTTATAATAAATAAATAGATTTTATTTTAAATATGTTAGTTGGATAAATTAAAATTTTATAATTGTGATTAAGTCACATCAAGATTACGTAATAACTCTTACAAGATCGAACCCATGGGATGGAGTCACTACCTTCTTTAGCACATGGGCATATTAAAAACACCCGTCGGACCGTCTTGCTCATTCACGCTTTCAGTGTTTTTTTTTTTTTTTTTTCTTCTTTTGTGAGATTCACATTTGGCATTGAAAACATGGTATATTAGAGGCAGTTAAAAATGGGTCTGGGGAGATAGTTAATGAGAAAATGAGACGATCATGAATTGGTTGACGGTGAGGAGATGTTCCTATCTCTAACGGCCCCAACCCATAAATATGAGAAGATGGATCAACTTTCACCAACTAATAATGGCCCCAACCCATAAATAATCATCTATCATAGGTATGTTGGTCTACTTCCCGGGTGATGATAGACAATCTACACATTTATAATTGTATTGTTTGAATAAAATTTTTAAAAAAATTGATTATTACAATTTATTAACAATAAATAACAAAAAACGAAATTAAAGATAAAGAAAAAAATATATAAAAAAACACAACATAGGTATAATTAGATTTATAAAATGAATAGATATTATTAATATGAAAAAAATAAAAAAAATAAAAATTATTAGAGTTAAATAAAATGGTGCAATAGGGTTCTGTATTTTATAGTAGGCCATTTAGGACTAAGTGGGGAGAGATTTGGAGAAAATTTGAAAGTCAGCTCTTTGGACTTGAAATTTCTCTTAAATTTCGAAATTCCCTAATTTTCTAAACAATGAAATTGGATTTGGATTTTAGACTTTTAAATATCTTGCTTGAAAAAAATATTTTCTTGAAATATTTATATATAAAACATTGTAATAATATAATACACATATTATTATATGGGTAAAACAAATTTAGTTTTACACATTTTCATAATTTTTTATATGATTTATATTTATTTAATTCGATCATTGTATTTCATATTTTATTCATGTAAATCATGCATGGTAAATTTTGAGTTAATTAAAATGTCTAACTATTTGGTATGTACCATTTCATTTAAGTAATTTAAGTCAATAAAATTATTTAATAAATACATAAATTTATTGATTTTAAGATACATGATAAGTAACTTTTTCATATTCTAAGAGTAAAACACTACGGTATTGTGAACCATCCCTGAGGAAAAACATTTTTAAGTTACAAACTATTTAAGTAAATACCATTACGAAATCTCGAAAACCATATTATTTATTGTTTTTCCATTTATATTCCAATTTGGCATCCAAGAGTAAATATAAGTTCAGAAACTTTGAATTTGATTTTTTATTCAGAAAAAGTTTAAGTAAAAGATAGTTATTTTCATTAGATAATGCAAAAATATTGATTTGATAATAGGTTTAGAGATATTTGAAATTTTTAAATTTTTACAAAATCACTTTTCTTATAATATAAAATTTATACATAATGTATTAAAAACATTTTTTTATGTTTTGATATTTTAATTAGTGTATTTATTTATATATATAAATTAAATTATTTTATGCATAATACGAAAAAGAAGCTACTTATATAAACAATAGGGAATATTACATTAACGAATGCTCTCCAAAAATTTTCATAAAAGACCTACGCTCCTATGTGGGTCCTCTGCACATGCAAAAATGATTGTGGGCTAAAAGAAAGCCATCTTTCTACAAGAAAATAGTAGTCCCATTACTCGGTAACAAAGACAGTCGAAAAAGAAAGGCCCATCTTCTGGTCGTTGAAGGTATCGTTGGTCAAAAGCACTTTTAACAAGACTCACTCAATAGTATACTACGCTGAAAGGCATTTTATTGGAGCAGCCTAATTGTTTCAATGGATTCTTTTTCGTTTCATATTTCATTTTTTTGGACAAATTTCATTAATAAGCTAAATTTAATTGGAAGCCAAAGCAGTGAGAGTGATTGAGGAGAGCCTAATGAATAAGCTCTTTTATTTTTTTTTCTACTAGGAACGAATATAGTTACCCCAAATCCAATCTACTCTTTCTTGTCTTATTTGACTATAAGCGAAACTTACATTGGCCTTTTCTTTAGGCTATGCAGTTGGGAAATGGATATAATTAATCCTGGGTCAAACTTGACTGGTAAGGCTATGCAATTGGGAAAATGATAGCGGTTCTGGCAGTAACCCCTTTTAATAAATTTTCTTTTAAAAACATATATATCTGCCAAATTTATTGTCATTTACTGGGTCTCATAACCTTAAAGTCCTCCCCCTTTATAAAACATTTTAATTGTTCCTCCTATGCATTCATCTCTATCGACAAAATACTCTGCAACCTTTCCATCTTTGTGCGCATCACAACTCTCTGCTCTTTGGATTGCTTCCTCTCCTCTCTTCAAATGGTACGAATATTTACATTTTGCATCTCTCTCGTTACGATCTTATCATGCAATTGTACACGCACACATACACTTACAAAATTATAAATATTCTTATATAATTGCATTTCAAAGAAGAAACCGTTGTATTTTTTTCTAAAATTAAAAAGAAAAAAAAACTGTTTTATTATCTGATTATTGATGATAAATAACTCTTGCCCCTGATCAAAATTTCCCAAACCGGCGGTTTTCTTGCACCCGGAAACTGGGTTTTGGATACAAAACGCCGTTTTCAGGTGATTCGATCTCTACTTTATTATTCTTCTGCTTTAATTAATTTAAGAGAGGATTAGCATGTGCATAGAAATTAAAATACGATAGAAAAAAAAAGTGTGTTAATTGGCGGAGGGAAGAGCTCTTTGTTTTATTGGTTTGGTTACTTTGGTTTTTCCTCCGCTATTTTAACTGTTTTCAATGGCTGAATGTTGTTTGGATGGGAATCCATCTCCCTAACCCACTCTTTACATATGTCAACTTCTCATTCAATTTATACATAGCCTCTAAGTATTAATTTCTCCTACTTTTTTGTTTCTTTTGGCATAGCCTTTTGCATTTATATAAATATATAAATATATATTATATATATATAAATCTCTAGATTCTGCGTTAATTTTTATGATTTCTAGGCAATAAGTTTACGGTTTGCATATATACTGTTTTTTATTTTTTTATTTTTAGGGTTTTGGGAATTACATTGTGAGCTCAACTTTAATTTTTTTTGTCCAAAATGCTTCAATCAATTATTAAATTAAAGAAAAGTGGAAAAATATTGTGCATAACTCTGATTTCCTAATCTATTATCTTTTATTTTAAATAGTTGGAGATGAAAAGTTAAGCAGTAATTAAAAAAAAGTCAGTAATATATAATTGAAAGAAAAATACTATAATATATTAATTAATTAAAAGGAAGGTAGTCCAATGAGCGATAAAATTGATATGATAGAGACATAGGTAGAATTATGCACGTACATTCATGATGTAAATTGTTAGATATTATTATAAAAGCATTTTGTGAATTTTCCAAGTTGCAAAAATCAATTTCAAAAAGTGGTTTAGATGTTGGAATATAAGTAAATGTCTTCCGAATATATACATAATAAAGCTAGTTCTTCCAATATTTTAGACTTTTTTATTTATAAAATAACTAGATTAAAACCTTATTTATTTTAATTATTTGACCTTTGCTTCGTTATGAATTTAAAACGTCTATACTACTACTATGGAATTTTTTTACAGAATTTGGTTTAATGAGTTCAGGGACACCAATTTAGTTGAAAAATTTACAAACAAAAGCCTTCTTTATGTAATAACAAAAAATTTATTAATCTTTTACTTTTTAAAAAATATATTTTTAAGGAAATTTGAAACGATTTCCTAAACCACCTCCTTTTAAACGGATAATTGTGCTTATTTTTTCTTTATATTTCAAAATTGTATGTTCAATTATTTTTATTTGAGTTGATTACACTTTTAGTACTTGAATTTTATAAAATATACAAATTGGTAACTAAAAAAAATAAAAATATATAATTTATACCATAAATTTTCAAATAATATATCATTTTAATCTAAACTTTAATATTATTAATTTAATTAGCATATATGGTATTTAATCAATATAATTTTATTATATGCATGTTATTTATTAAATAAAGTATTAAATATTTTGTAAAAATATCATGTGGATAATATGTGACAAATAATAATTGATCGATCATAACTAATTTTATGATTTAGGTAAAAAAAATTTAAATACTTTTTATTAAAAAAAATGTTGATAGAATGTGTAATGAATATATAATTCAATAATATTTATTAAAAGCCACATAGATAAATTGATATAGTTAACAAAATTAAAGTATTGATTAACATGAAGATAATTTGAAAGTTTAAGATTTAAATTGTACATTTTTTTTTAGATAGTAATTTATACATTTTATTAAAATTTAAATACTAAAATATAATTAACTATTTTTATTTTTTCTCTTTGACATATTTTTAGGTATGTAGCATTTTTACTGTTAATATTTATTTAAAAAATAAAATGATTTATCATTTCATCCACTGTCAAGGACTAGTATTTTTAATTATTTTGAAGTAGGGGAACAAACTTTAATGTTAATTCTTTAATAAACGTTTGTCAGTGACCCATATGTGTTCTGACCCGTTAGCGTGTACTGTTGGATTTCATTTTTTAATTGAATTATAAATTATTTAATGATCCAACTCGTTTCTTTATATATACAATTTAAAGTAATCTTGCTTTTACTTAACCAAAAAGGAAAATGCTCACGGTGTTCCTTTGCTTGCGTATACCAAAAATTGATTTCATTTTCTTTATTTATTTGCTTTAATTTACTTATAAGTAAGTTAGAATTAGACATCATTATGTTCGATTACATGGAATATATTATTTCAAAGTATCATTAATGTTGTGTATGAAAATAAGATAAAGTATATTTTATAATATCACATAAATAAATTGGATAATTTATATATTTATATTATAAAAAATTTAATAAATTATATTTTTATTGTACGGATTTGAATTGTCAAACTTAGAACTAAACGACAATTCATAACTGAATTATTGTTGATGGTGAAATGATGTGGGCAGGTAACAAGAAACGAGGATGAAAGAAAACTGGTTCTTTCAAGGCCATTGTCAATAGATGGTGAATCGGAGGTTGATTATCGGGCTCCCAATCTAATTAACAGGATTTTAAGTCTTTTCAAGAACGTACGCCCAGGCTCTGATCTCGCCCACTTTAAGGCAAGTTGACCTCATTTGTTTTCTTGCACTTATTGCTTATTTTTCACCGCAAATTATTATCCATAATTTTTTAAAAAAATTTAATTTTGTAAAGAAAATGTATGTGAATTCAAGTTTTTAGTAGACAATAAATGCATTTATCGAGAATTGAATTACATTCCAATTCTCGATTGATAATGATTTCTAAAAACTATTAAATAATTCCATTCCCAAAATAACATTGGTTCATTTGTCGGCGTTGGAAAAAATGTTCCAAATATAATTAGTTGTGTCTTTTGAAACGTAAAAATTCATAAAAATATTTCCTTAAAAATAAGACGCTGACGCCCAAGTTTGTTCGTGATTATTTTTACATTAATTTCATTTTATAACATAATATGGAAGGTAAAATTCAATTAGCTATATTAACTGGCACTTTTTATTTAAAACATAAAAAATACATATATTTATGTTATTTAGTATTTGGTGGCAGATACATTAATTAGCCTGGCGGAGTTTTGTCTAGAACAGAGATATATTAAAATCATTATACTTAAAAGTGGACTATTAATATTGTAATTGTATTATTTGATAAATATTTCTTAAAAAAGTTTAGGAATTGAAATTTCATTGGATAAAAATAATATCAAAAATAAATATCCCTATATATAAATATGCAATATAGATATCATTTTATTTTAAAAAATGTATTGATATTATTAATTGTATAAAAAATAAAGAAATAGATTACAGTTAAATAAAATGATATTTTTTCAAGTTTTGTGTTTTATAAGGGATTATTAAGGATAGCAAAAAAAAATTGTATCCAAAAAGTTTCAACTATTGAAGCAATTTTTTTCTTTTTAAATTAAGAATCAAGTCAGAGATGGGTCAAATATGTTTTATAAAAGTTGCGGTGGGGTTGCAAGCAAGTTTTAGGGTGCCTCGTTCTGACCCATCTCAAGATGTATATAGATATAAATTTTATTATTTATTTAATTTTATATTTATATATACATATATATTAAGAAAATTATTATTTAATATCTTAATTTAAGATATTAATCTAATAAAAATAATATATTTTTATGTAATTAAGATATAATTTATATTATAAAATATTTTTATTAATATTATATTAAATTAAAATTACTAAATTAATTTCAAATCAGATGCGGGTTATACATATATTTATCAGGTCAAAGTCAAGTATTAAAAATAAGAATCCAATATCGAGTTGGGTAAAACCTTTTAAGAGTCGTGTCAGAATTGAAATTGGTAAAAATTCGTCCAACCTGACTCATGGTCATCTTCATGAATCATTTAGTTAAATTAAAGAGATTTGAATTAATTTTAAAAACCATCTCTTTAAGTAAAATTTTAAGAGAAATTTTGAAGTGCTGAAAACTTAAAATTTTTCTTCAATTTTAAAATTCTTCTTTACTTTTATCGAAAGAAATAGGTTTATTTTTTAATTTCTAAAAATTTTGATTGAAAAATTTTTTCCTCTAATTACCTTAATATCATACTCATCTTATACACTTTTATTTTCAATGCGGTGTTTTCATAATTGTAATAAAGTATAGATCTATAAACCTATCGCTAGATATGAACTTAAAAGAGTCACCACCAATTTTTTTTGGTTAAGATGTGATTTGTTACTTAATTGAATCTATCTCATTTTAAAAAGATATCTCAAATTTCACTCAGGTATATTTAAAAAGTAAATTCTAGTCAACAAAAACTGAATTAGATTTGAGAGGTAGACTAGCATCAATATTGTGATAGGCTTTTTGATCTAAACTAAGTGATTGTTTAATATATAATCAAACTGGAAGTGATGAGGACTCTCAAGAACAAGCCATTTCAAGATTTTCCATCAGCTTAACAAGTTGTATTTTTACTTCTCATAGGTCATGCCCTAATTCCCTTTGAGTGAGTTTTAAAGCTTAGATTCATGCTTTCAATTGATCTCCCATGTCTTTTAAATTACTACCATACATAAAGTAAAAAACTACTATGTTGTGCAATGATATGATGAATGCAATAATACATCAATGATGATCTACAAATGAGTGAGATGCATGAAATGATTAAAAGAAATAATTACAACCTTATTAATGTTGACATGATTCATGCAAAAAGGAAGTAACCAACCAGAACAGAGTTAGCATCCAATATAAAAAAAAAAAAAAGAGACTAAACAAGTTAGTGCACTATTCACATATAACAACAAGTATGTGACCTACTGTCGGATCATTTCTATAAAAAAAAAAGGACATAGCTTTATCTATGAGTTGAGTCCATCATAGTTCACTATATGAGTGTTTTGGATTTGAAATCTAAAGGTTCGTAAATTATTCCTTATATCATTATCCATTATAAACTACTAAAGCACCCTAATTATTGGCCATTATAGGCTACAAGTGAAAAATGTTTAATTTGAATGAAAGTATTTAGCTAGCCATTGTGCAAACATGTAATCTCACGAAAGCTTAAGTATTTTACTCCCCCATAAGGGAGTAAATATTAAAAGCTGTAAAAATAAATCAAGAAGAAAAAAAATCTTTTTAAGGAAAATATTAAGCTTAGATAACACAAATTCATTTACTGGCTTTACTCTCGGCTATCCCTAGTGGAGTTGTCAAACTATCATAACGTATAGATCCATGCACCTATCACTAAACATGAACTTAAAAGGTCACTACTAATATTTTTTTTATTAAGATGTGATTAGTCACCTAATTGAATTTGTCCAATTTTAAAGAGATATTTCAAGCTTGACTCAAATGTCTTTAAAAAGTATATTCTAATCAACGAAAAAAGAAGTGGGTTTGAGAGTATGGTTACATGTAAAAAAGGTTATAACACCCCTACAACATCTATCCAAAGATGATACCAATTGATTTTGTATTATTCAAAAGCCTTTAAAAAAAAATCTTACTAAATAATTAATTATTGAGAATTATCCTTAATTAACTACATTATATTAGCAAAAAATAAAAAGTATTTCTCACTTAATAGTATAAAGGAAAACAATTATTTATCTTGCAGAGACTCCATCTTCGTATCATTTAACATTTATTTTGTTTTTTAGAAAAAAATTAATTTTAAGGAAAAATTGATATTTCAACTTTTTCCTTACAAATCTAGAAAATATTTAAATAGAAAAATTGATATTTCAAATTTTCTTAAATCCTTTGAAATTATTTGAATAGGAAAATTGATATTTTAACTTTTTCTTAAATCTTTTGAAATTATTTTAAAATAGAAATTTGAAAATTTATTTTTTTTCCTCTTATTTTTGAAAACTTTTTTATTTCAAGGAAAAATTAACACTTTAACTTTTTCCTTTCATTTTCTTGAAATTTTTTTTTGTTTAAGAAAAAATTAATATTTCAATTTTTTGCTCAAAATTTTAAAAATTTTTTATCTTTGTTCAAGGAAAAATTGATAATTCAACTTTTTCCTATTTTTTTTGAAATTATTTTTATTATTTCTTTCAAAAAAATTCATTAAAAAATATTAAATAAATAAAAAAAGAAAAAAATATTACCAGAAAAATGATTTGGCTCAGTTTAGAATTTCAGCTTGGCTTGGCACTAGAAATAGAATTTGGCTTGTGGCTGGTCAAATGGCTCAGTTTCATGGCTCGGCTTGGCTTGAAGGTGATTTAGCAAATGAAGTGGGTCACATACAAGTCAGGTCGGATACTGAAGTAGCACACAGATCTTTAGGACTTAAAAGTCTCAAAAACAACACAATTTCCTTCTTTGTATAAAAGCCAAAAAAAATTTTCTCTCAAATTCTTCTTTCTTCCCTTTATCTCTTCTTTCTCTCTTCACAACTCTCTCTTTCTTTTTATTTTTTTTTTAGATTCTAGTTGTCGAAATCTTCAATAGCCATTGAAAAGTGCATTGGTTTCTGGGTTCTTTATAAAAAAACTTGGAACTGCTGCCAGGTTTTGGAAATGGTAACCATTTTCTAGGGATTTTGCCAGAAGTTGGATGAAAAATTTGAATTTCGTCAAAAAATTTAATTGAAAAATTTAAATTCTCTAAATTTTTCAAAATTTTTTTAAAAAATTCTCAAAAAAAGGCAAAAAAAACACCAATTTGGATCTACTAGCTTCCTGAATAATTAAATAGTAAAATCGAAACTTGAAATTTCTCAAAATTTTCAAAAAGATTTATGTTAGAAACTGTTGTTCATCTCATTTTACTTTTATCAAATTTCTTATTTACTGTTTTGATTGCTCTCTTTGTGTTCCTGTGATGATTGCTGTGCGTCATTTGCTGTGAATTGCAAGGCCTATTTATAAGACCTTGCACTGGCTTAATCAGTTTTTGCTAGAGCTTGGGTTCTTCAAAAATCATATCTTATCATTGAATTGAAACTTATCTTCCAAAAGGATTTAACTCAATTTCAACTTTAAAAGTAAGAATTATTGTTTGAAAATAGGATCACTCAATTTTATCACCGACCTCTCTCAATTGATTTTTGGTCATTTAAGTTTTTCTCTGTCTTTTTTTTTTTGTCAATTATCTCTTTCCTTTTCTTTTTTAAATAATCAAATAATTAAATGGGATAAATTAAATTAAGATTAAAGATAAATCACAGTAAAAATTTTAAACAAATAAAAATAAATTAAAAATAAATAAGTAAATAAGATAAGTAAAACAAATAAATAAATGCAATAAAATTAAATGAATGAAAATAAATAAAAATAATAACAAAGAAAATTCAGTAATTAGATTTGGAATAAATTCAAACTCAACTGATTTAGGCCTGAAACTAAATTAAGTCCAATTGAATTAGACCCCAACCTAAATGAAGTATCTACAATAATAATTACATGAACTTTTTTGTCGGACATGAAAATGTTAGTCATAATTTTTGTTTTCCTCTAAAATTCTTTCAACCATAGAAATGAAATATTTTGCATAATATTTTTATTATTAACTTCTGTCCAAAATAAATTAAAATAAAATTACGGTGACAAATTTCAATGCAATTAAAGTATTATGACAATTTATATCGAATCATATATAGTACAATAACAAATTTGATTTTAAGTCACTGTTTTATGGTCTTATATATATTATTATATGTGAAAATCTAACAAAATTTAATCCATAGAGAGACAAAAATAAAAAAAAAATTATAAGAAGAAACGTTGAAATAAAAGAAAGACAAATGCATTTATAATAATAATAATAATAATAATTGTGTCCGATGAATTTGTTCCTAGTTTGTTTATTCGAGCTTAAATTTCAAATAATTAATTAAATATTGTGGAGTCAAGTGGTTGGTTCAGAAAGAGTAACCATGCCCCTCATAAATATGAATGTTAGCACATAAATTAATGGTGGGATGGGGTTGGGTGTAATTGTTTGTTCAGCTGCCACCTCTATTCAACTTCCCAAAGTCGCACCTTCAATGCTATGGAGAAACAGTGTACTGCATCCGCAGCGACATGCTGAGCCGATGTAACCTGGCTAACAACTCAATCGACAGATTCACATCGGTTGTGGCCTGGAGCATTTCTACATTGCGACCTCCAATATTTGGGGTTGCCCCTTACAACCCAATCCTTGGTGAGACTCATCATGTCTCCAGGGCAACTTTCAATGTCCTACTCGAACAGGTATTTCCATTTACTGCTCCACATCTAATTCACTAACTTCATTTTTTAAACTAACGGTAATTAATTAGTAGTGCCAATTTTCATACAGATTTCTCACCACCCGCCAGTTTCTGCTCTCCATGCAACTGATGAGGAACATAATATTGAACTCATCTGGTGTCAACAATGTGTGTCTAAGTTCCATGGTTCGTAATGATTGCTTTAGCTATTTCTCCCAGTACGATGATTGATTTGTTACCTACACTTGCTCTTAAAGTCTTAACAATATTTTAGGTGCTTCGGTAGAAACTGAGGTGCGAGGGAAAAGGCAACTGAAACTCCTGAGTCGAGGAGAAACATATGAAATGAACTCTCCGAACCTCTTGATAAGATTTCTTCCAATGCCTGGTGTTCATTGGGCCGGAACTGTTAGAATCAGGTGCCCAGAGAATGACCTCGAAGCTGAGTTGCGCTGTGGACCCAAGTCTTTTATTGGGCTTAGAGGAAGTCATAGATCAGTTAAAGGAAAGATCTATGAAATATCAACAGGGAGGACTCTTTTTGAACTTAATGGCCATTGGGATAGGTATTAATTAGCTTCTAATTAAAGTGGATATAATATATATATATATATATATATATATATATATATTAAGTATGTAGGTATCAAGTTTCTAACCCAAAATCTACTTTGGCCTTAAACGATAGAGGACTAAATACTGGAAATAGTTACTGTCATGTATTCAGTCAATGGTTCCACAATTTTCAAAATGCAGGAAACCAAAATTTTATGCACTTGATTTTACGTTTGAAATGAAATTATCGTGCTCGACGTTTCTTAAAATCTTTTCGTGTGCAGAACTGTTACAATGAAGGACAGCAATAGTCGAAAGTTGACGGTTCTATACAATGCAGAAGAAGTCTTTTCAGAGCTGAAAACTCCTATTGTTAATGATCTGCAGGTAATTCTTTATTGATTGCCCGGTGGTGTTCAATTTTCACTACTTACTGTATATACAAGATTGTTTGTATCTATTGCATTTTAAGAACTGTTAACATTTCATTTCTGAGGCTTTTCCATTGTAATGTATATGCATCACTTGACATGCATATACATTTATATTCATGTCTCTGCATCTACCTGAGCCTGCTGGATCCTGATCTTTTCTTTTTCCCCTTCAGGGAGTGCGATCGACAGAATCTGCTGCAGTATGGAGTGAGCTAAGCCAGGCCATAATGAGCCAAGACTGGGAGAAAGCGAAAGAAGCTAAGAATGCTGTGGAAGAAAAACAAAGGGAGCTCTTGAGAGAAAGACAGTCAAAAGGAGAAACTTGGGTCCCCCAACATTTCAGTGTCACTTACAGCAAAGATGGTGGTTGGGACTGTTCACCAACTCGACAATGGGTTCCACCTGCTCCAATTGTTGTTCCTATTTCATAAGCTAAGAAGCTTATACTAAACCCCTTCTTTGGGGCTTTTAGATTATTAAAATTCATAGAACAGATGGAACCAAACCTACTTTTGAACAACTAATTAAATGCTTACATATCATTCAATCTGATAAACTCCAAGTTATATTTATTTAAGCAAAGTCATTCCATAATTGAGTTATGAGTGAGTAAAGGAATTAGTTACAACTTTCCTGTCTGGATCGACTCATATCCCACAAGTTTGGTAAATTTTATGCAGTAATGATTAGAGATTCTTTCCATGATTTGATGTCTATATGCTGGTAATGGAATGAAGGGTTAGTAATTTATTGTTTTCACTGTGAAAATTTGTCTATATAGAAGCCCTATGTGTGTATTAGCATGTGAAGTACAATTCATATATTAGACATAAGAAAGAATTTAAGCATTGTTGTGAGGTTTTGGAACCCAGAAGGCCAGAACTTTATTCCCTGCTTTCAACGGATGTGAAACATAGGGACAACATAACTCCTACCAGCACTAATGTCTGCAATTCACCAGATATTATTAGAAATTGTTTCCCTCCTTGATAGAAACTGCAAAATATTGCAGATATACAAACAACAAAGAGTCGATAAACATTCAAAAACTGCGTCAGTCATATCCATACCTCTCAAATGGAAGCTATTTCGTTGTAATAAAATTTATCTCTCGTAGATCAGATTCACTCCTCTGAGTAAAGGATATTTCTATAATGGTGTCCAAAATCGGCTTCCAGGACCGTGCCCTTGCCCTGCATGACTTTTGAAGGCCATATGTCATATCCCTTCTCTCTGGCCGGCCTTGACTCCTACCTGATGAATTCTCCATGGTAGGAGTAGTTTTTGGTGAGACATGGTCAGACCTGATAGATTTTGCTTTTGCTGTAAGCCTCTTTACTACAGAGGCCATGTCCAGAGGAGAAACGTCATCCTGTAAGGTTGAGAGTGGCAGCACAAAATAGAGATGGCCTGGTTGCAGTTGGGTATCAGGATGCAGGGGCTTGGAGCCTGCAGACACAAGTTGAGCTGCAGCGCACAGAAATTGGTTTGGGGACTTGCCTATGACTTCACCGACTGAGATGGGATGATCAAAGTCCTCAACATAGCCATCGAGGTGAACCAGGCGAATTGTGTTGAATGTATTTGGTGATGTACATCTGCAGGACAAACGACACCCCATTTGGTATTTCTCTCTTTATGTATCGGTACTAGATACAAATTATTTATATCGATAGATTTAATTAGACATGCCTTCAACTAATAGGTTATTGCTGCAGGCGCAGGCCAACTACCTGCTGAAATTTCTTTGGGAAATCCTTCGTAACACTTGTGATATGGACCATTTGCAGTTTAGCCAGCATTTTTTTCTTTAATAAAAAAAAGCTTAGGATGAAGAGAAGTTTTTTCAGTTCAGAGTGAAGACAGACTTTAAATTTAAAAATTTTATATTAAATTTACAAATAAAATTTGACTCTAAACTGTTGGTAGAAATACAAATAAAATATTCTAACTTAACCAACTCAACCATCAGATTTATCTAGCTTTTGTATTTGGTCAATGATGAAAGGGAAAAGCTAGGCGCACGGATGATTCCTATTTACGTCATGCTAAATAGCCTTGTATCGATAAAAACAACAATACAAGTGAAGCTTTAATTTAAATTTTTGTTGTCGCTTTATCGATAAATTTGTTAAATTATTCTATTAATTTTACTTGTCTTTCCGTTACTTTATTCTAAAAATTCTAACATTTTATAAATCTATTCATTTTATACTTATTGGCTATCATTGCTGCATAAGTTTTTAATGCCATTCTCAAGAGGTTGTTTTGTTTGGGGTCAAATGATTTGACAAGTTTCCAAATATTTTCTAAATGTTGTTCAGTTTACAAAATGGAAAAGTTTAGTCCGAAATTGCAGTTTTGTCACCTTCTTTTATTCCCACACTTTAGTCCATTTTTTCATATAATTCACGACTTAAAAATTTTTATTTTGACCTTCATTTCGGTGAACTAGATAAAAATTGAGGCACATCCCATTAATAGTCTAACTGTACCGGAAATATACATGTCAAAGGAAAAAAGAAAAAATTGTAGTTCATTTTTGGGATAATACCTCATATGGCCCTTGAATTATTATAATTTTACTAATGTGATACTTAAATTCATAAAATTTCTATCAAGTACGTAAATTTTAATTTCACTTGTTAAATTATCCCAATATCTTGACACCATTAAAATAATATTGACGTGGTATTTAAATGCTAACATAGATAACACGTGGCTATTATGTAACTCTCATGTATCATTTTTAAATAATAAAAAACTTTTTTTTAGAAATTATATTTTAAAATGTTTTTTATTTTTTAAAATGATCTATGGTAACCACATTTATACCATGTATTATCTACTTCAGAATTTAAAATGCCACATCAGTATTATTTTAACAGTATTAAGAGTTGGGATAACTTAATACATAGAAATGTAGTTGAAGTACTTTATTAATTTTTTTTTTGTTTAGATACCTATTTAAAAGTTATGTAATAATTCAAAGACCAAATGAGATATTATCCCTTTATTTATTTATTTATTTTTTTGAAGCGGGGCTTATTGAAGTGGATGGCTTTTATGTTTGGGCTTTTGGGTTTTATAAGGTTTGGCAATCTCTCCCAGAGTTTTAGAATCCAAAAGCCTTTTATTTCATCTCTGGTCCTTTATTATTAAAACTATTTTTCCCTTCATCTCACCGAAGTTTAAAAATTTTAAATTAAATTTCGACTTTCATTTATTATAATTTTTTTAAAAAAATTACCCTTGACTTGCAGAAGAAAATGAATGAATATAATTAAGGGTAATAAGAAAGAATGAGAATGATTTTTTATTTTATTTTTAGAAACAATTCATTATTTCGAGATAATCATTAACGCAAGTGTCTTTTTTGGTAATTTTTCATTAAATAATTTTATTCCAAAATTCCTTTCGGGGCGGTAGAAAATTGAGATTTCTAGGCCCGAGTTGGATTCCATAATCAAGTAGACAATTTCGAAGCTTAACCCCAATTAATCAGACTTTAATTAAATGAAACCTTAAAATCGGATTCCAAGGCCGAATCCTAACCCAAACTTGGAAAAAAAAAAATTTTAACTGCATTATCCCGACCAGAGCCCAATTCATAATATTAAGCTACTAACGCCACACTTAACCTATACGATTCGGTTAAAGCCCAAATTAATTAGAAAAACATTGAAAGTTGGAATTTTTTGAAAATGAATCAATTTTTTTTATATGGAAACGAAATTCGATCATAAGACAAAAGCGAGCAATGACAAATTTTAATTGAAGTATGTCCTATCAAAATTTGGTGTCTACATCGTCGATGGCCAGATTTTTTTTTTTTTTTCACAACTAGGAAATTTGCAACTTGACGTTCAGTAGTTGCCTCGTTTTGTTAAAATATTGGCATTTGATGCAGCTTGCACTACTCAATCTCTTTAATTTTGTCTGTTTTTAATATATCCCTTATTCAATACTCAATTGAAACGATGAAATAAGAGAGGAAGCTTTATACTACAGTCGCAGCAGTATAAGGTATGGTCCTCATCATTTCTAATGGTTCTGTCGTTCCGTTACTGGAAATAAATTACACCACTTATTGTAGCTTTTTCTAATCTACATCTTTATTTATGAATCGCGACAAAAAAAATTGAATTCCAAAAATATATTTGGAATCAATTCAAAAAATAGAATTTTTAAGATAGGGATGAATATAAAACTGGAAAAAAAAAAAAAGGTTATTAGCTAATAATGCAATTTACTCTAAATCTGAAAGTTGGAGACTTTCAACTGAAATTAAAGACTTCCAACTTCTACAGAATTACGAGATTTCCAACATAATTCTAGTTGTCTATACTTGACACCTTTAGAGTCACGGGTAAATAGAATTGAAACACTATGACTTTAAATCTGATAATTCCGTTGCATTGAGAGTAAATCTAGATTTGATATGTTACATAAGTCACGGGTAAAAAGAATTGAAAGACTATGACTTGAATTTAATAATTCCAATATATATGTTTAAAATATAAAATTCTGAGAGTAAATCAAGATTTGATTTGTTATATAATTTTTGAAAACGAAATGCACATATTGTACTTGAAAAGATATAGTACATGAAATTTATCATTACATATAAGTATTCAATAAATTCATAAATTTAAAAATAATCATAAAAATTATATTTATATGTATTTTATTAAACAATTTATATTAAATTTAAAATCTAAATTACTTCCCAAGTTTCTAAACGCAAGTTTACTCTATTAGAATTTCGGAATACATATTCAATCCATTCAAATTCAACAAAACTTGTCAACTATCATCTTTACCACAATACATGATATTAAAATCCCTCCTACCTACTTTTGGATAGACACCGTTGTCAATCATTAATATCATTCTCTTTTTTTCTTTAATTTTTTACAATTGCAATAATACCACACGAAATTCGAGCTATACATTCAATATATAATTTTTTATAAAAGATCTCATAATATGGAGATAAAAAAAAGTAGGTGTTGATATTATAACTTTAAACTATTAAATATTATCTTTTAAAAATGACTATATTAATCGAATTAAACTTTTGAACCGACCTGTATGTTCCATTGGCTTTGGTCTAGGTTTCCTGCAAGTCCGATTCGCTTCGCCGATTAAATGACTTTTCTCTAATGGTGTCCAAGATTGGTTTCCATGCCCGCACGCGGGAGTACCTTTGTGCCTCACAATACATAAGCCCTGAATCAGGTTCCCTTAAGCCGTGGTTAGGACTGGAGCCATATTGACTTGGTGACTTAGCCGTACACCTGGTTGACTTAGCTTTGGCAGTGAGCTTTCTGGCAATAGAAGCCAAGTCCACAGGAGACACATCAGGATGTAGAGTAGAGTAAGGTAGAAGAAAATAAATATGGCCAGCTTCCAGGATTGTATCAGGTTGAAGACCCTGGGAACAGTTAGAAATGAGTTGAGCTGGAGTGCAGAGGAACTGTTTTGGTGACCTGCCGGTGACTTCACTAACTGAAACAGGGTACTCAAAATCTTCTACAAAGCCATTCAGGTGAACCACTCGGATAATATTCTTGACTCTAAACAATGATCTGGTAGAAAAACTGCAACCCATTTGATTTTGATCTCCCTCAAGAATCTCTTCCTTCTTTCGTTCTTTCTTTCTTTCTCTCTTTGTCTAGCACTCTCTCTTGGCTATTTATCACTCCCACTAGGTAATTGAGTAATACGTTGTCCAACTACTTTGGGCGTTTTATATAGGAAATATCCTCCTCTGGCTTTCCTATTTAGCTTTGTTTGAGGTCGTGACAGATTGTTAAGAAATAATAATAAGCATTTGTGGTGGAAATTTTTGAATCAAAATCCTTTTTTTTTTTTTTAAGAAGAAATCTCGTTGAATTACTTTCTTTAAATTTTATGGTATCACATTGACCTCAAACAACCCTCTCTGGAAAAAAAAAAAAAATTACCCCCCACTCAAAAATATATGCTTTGGGGAGAAAAAGAAAAATAAAAATTTCAATAATTTAACCCATGAACTCATTTTTGTATTGATTTATTGCCTCTTTATTCTTTTTCTTATTATAATTTGTATTCATATATTTAGCCAACTTTTTGTTACTAAAATAATTTCTACTTTTTTATAGATAGAGTGAGAGAGTCAATCCAATGAACCATTCGAGAACTTACGATTTGGTTTTTAAAACCGATGTTGATTAGTGTCCCAATGACTCTTTAGGGAGAAAATAGACTGAAGTCGCCGTGGGGCTTGGGTAAAGGTGGGAAGACTTCTTAGAGAAAGAATCCAAAATTTTGAGTGCAATTTGACTGGAAAAACTGCATCGAACCCTTAATTCGGGTTACAAAAGGCAAAAGTCACGTCCACTTTTTTTTTTTGAATGAAATGATCGACGTTTACTGATCTCTACATATGCATAAAATCGAATCATTTATCTCTAAAAATGTAGATCTATACCTTTTTAGGATAAGCATATAGTAGGTAGATTCATCTTTTTTTTTTTATGATAAAATGATATGATGATATTTTTAGATTTTAAATTAAAATGTCACTGTATGTACAAGTTTAGTTTGATTATATTGATTTTGTTTTATTTATTGATTTTTTAATAAATATATCATGTAATTTTATATCTTATATTTTATATAAATATATAAAAACCAAACTCTTTGATAAAAAAAGAAATATGATAGTTTATATTTTTGATATGTGGATGAATTTAAAATCGTCACATATATTTTTAATAAATGCATTTTATTTATTTAAAATATTTTTTAATTTTTTAGAATAACATATTTATTACTTAAAAATAATTAGTTAGATTAAATTAATTACATTCATTACATTTTAAATATCTAATGTTTTTACCTTATATGAATAAATTACAATTAATTTGATCAATTATACAGATAGAAAAAAGAAATTATAAAAAACTAATTACTCATTAATATCTTTCCATATCTTCTTATCACTTATGAAAAGTTAAATGAAATTTAATATGGTAAATAAAGAAAGAAAAGTGAGCCATTTAATGAGTTGACAATAATGATATCATTGAATTAGGAAAAATTTTGTTTTTTTGTTTTTTTAAAAAGACAACATGTTAGGCAAGAATTCAGAATTTGTAATTTTGAAGGAAAACTGCATTAATTTCATGTCTTTTATTATTTATTGCATTAGATGGTTAATAATAGTAACTTTTTAATATCAACTATACATTTTAGTATAATTTTTTTTCTTTTCTAATCTTTTCTAATCTTATATAAATATGTAAAAGTCAAACCCTTTGATAAAAAAGGAAATAGTCCAATATGGATAGCCTACATTTTTTACATATATATGAGTTTAAAAATCATCATGGTTTCTCTAATAAATGCATTTTATTTATTTAAATATTTTTTATAATAACATTTTTATTAATTAAAAAAAATTAGTTAGACTAATTAAGTACATTTATTACACTTTAAATATATAATGTTTCTACCTTATATGAATAAACTACAATTAATTTGGTCAATAATATAGACAAAAAAAAAAAGAAACTACAAAAAGCTAATTATTCATGAATATATTTCCATATCTTCTTATTACTTATGAAAAGCGAAATGAAATTTAATATAGTAAATAAGGAAAGAAAAATGAGCCATTTAACAAGTTGACAATAATGATATCATTAAATTAGGAAAGATTTTGTTTTTTTTTTTTTAAAAAAAGACATCAGATTAGGCAAGAATTCATAATTTGTAATTTTGAAGGGAAAACTGCATTAATTCAATTTTTTTTATTATTTATTACATTAAACAATTAATAATAATAACTTTTTAATACATTTATGATAATATTTCTTGATAGTAATATAAATACAATAGTTTTTTTTTTTTTTCAAAAAGAATATTAAGCAAATAGAATTTGACTATTCTCCAACTTTGTTTCATTACAATGTTATCTCTATTATCTTATAAGAAATTTATTTTATAGTTTTGCTTGCAATTCTTTCGTAAGTTTATTAAGATTTTATTTATATTTTGTTTGTTTATGCAATTGTTAGGTTTTATATTTAAAATAGCAGTTTTATTAACTATATATTTTAGTATAATTTTTTTCTTTTCTAATTTATAATTTAAAGGCAAATCTTTGTTATTTTCTATATATATATATATATATTTGAATGTGATGTTGCTAAAGAATTCTTTTCTTTTTACAAGGTATTAATTAGCATAGGCTTAATGATTTTGGTTTATTTTAGGAGGTTATTTGATAAAATTATGTTGATTTGCAAGGTTCTACAACCAGATATCAAAGATGATTAATTAATTTGGATGCTATCATGCTAGAAGGCTATGCATTGGTTGGGAGCCAAATCATAAAGATTCTCAAATTTTGTATTATAAGCTAAATCGACCTAAAATGATATAGTTGATTTGAATTGGTCGGGAGCCAAATCATAAGGATTTTTAGATATTGTATTATAAGCTAAATCGACCTAAAATGATATAGTTGATTATGATCTAGCTAAATATGTTTTGGTTTCAATTGAAAATGAAAAAAAATTATTTTATAAGTTCTTAAGGAATGAAGCTTTGGATGATGTAAAGGGTGTTAGTTTATAGTTTTTAAAAATCTTATAAAAATGAAACAAATTCCTCAAATTTGTGAAATTTACCACTTATTTAATTAAACAAGTCCTAAAATTTTAGAAATACTAAAACTATAATTGAAACTCTTATACTTCATTTCTTATATTCTTCTATATTTCTTTTTTAGATAGACATTTTTTATTCAATTTCTTTTTAGATAGATAGATATTTCAAGATATATGTCACCAATTCATAACAAAAACACACACAATATTGAAACAAAAATGCCAATGGTTTGATTTTAATGTAAGTTCAACTCCTTCATAATATAAGATATATACATATATATTAATACAACTTCTTCATCCATTCAAAAAAATATACGTACAATTAAATTCTAAATTTAATATATTAATATTACAAAAATTTCCTACAATTAATGTCAACTTTTATTTTCAAATTGATTTTTTAAACGTGTAATTTTATCTAATTAATTATTTTTATGTCATATTAAAATTAGATGAATATATATGGTATTAAATTTAAAGTGGCAATTATATCCTAGATATTCAACATAGACTTACGAAATTGAAGGAAACAGAAAGTTTTTAATTATTATTATAGACACCCAATTTGATCCAGGTCCGGATCAATTGGGCCTGGTCTAAATGTGTAGCCCATTTTATTTTATTTTATTTTATTTTATATTTTGTATTTTGTATTTTGTATTTTATATTTTGTATTTTGTATTTTGTATTTTTATATTATTTGTTTATTTATTATTACTATTTATTAATATATATTTTTTATTATTTATCTGTTAATATATATATTTTATTATTATTTATCTATTATTATTATTATTATTATTATTTATCTATTAATTAATATATTATCTTTTTTTTTTCTTCCTTCCTTTTTCTGCTTACCCGATTGGAATTGAAATTAGGATAAAAACTAGAGTTCTACCATGAATTTGGGATTCAATCAGAGTCCAGATTGGATTCAATGATTGAATCCCAATCTAAGAGGGAATTTGGATTGATTAGAAACTCTTTTGATCAATCCCTATAAATAGGTGTTGGAATAGAACAGAAAAGGGGACACACAGAGAAGAAACAGAAGCTAAAAAGGAGTTTTGATGCGTTAGAACAGCTTTAGGAATCGGTGGAAAGTTTTTTTGAATTTTAGGCGATTTTTTTTTGAAAATTTTTGAAAAATTTCTAGATTTCGGTTGAATTTTTCGACCAAGTTTAAATTTTTCGATGAATTTTTCGGCATCGGTTGAATTTTTCGACCAACTATCCAATTTTCGGTAACTATTTCCAGAAACTGACCAACTTTTCGGTGAACTTCCGATGAAAAACCCAGATTTTGATGATATTTTTTAGAATCCGACGAGATTTAACTGGAGTTCTTCATTTGTTTAGAGAGAGGGAGGAGGAAAATAAGGGAAGAGAGAGAGAGAGAATGAGAGATCTGCTGAAAAATAGAGGTTATAGCCTTTTATATTTGCTAAAAACGATGTCATTTTGGCGTTACTGTTCCTAGAGGATCCGCGCGTTTTGAAATCGGACGATCCGATCCGAGCGTTGATCCGCGTGTAACCCGAGTGTTAGTCGACTCCTGGAGTCGAGTCGAGCCAAACCGACGTCCCCGAGCTACATCTTTAAGCCGCCCTTTCTTCTTCAATTCGAGCCGAGCTACTAAGTTGAGCTATTCCAAGGTTTTTTTTAATTTTTATTTATTTATTTATTTATTATTATTATTTATTGATTAGATTAGAATTATTTAGTATTTCTTATTTTATTTTATTTTTATCTTTATTTTTATTTTTAATTTTTTATTTTCTTTAAATAAAATTCCAAAAAAAAGTATTTTTAAGGAAAAGTTGAAAGTATCAATTTTTCTTGAAAATAAGTCTTCAAAAAAAATATTTTTAAGAAAAAGTTGAAAGTATCAATTTTTCTTAAAAATAAGTTTTATAAAAACTATTTTCGAGGAAAAATTGAAAGTATC